GAGCAGCTCTGAGATTAATATGTCCTGTGCAGGGACCCCTCCGTCACTCAGAAATGCCAGCTGCCCTGAGATGATTTTTTTCTGCAAGTTTTCCTGCAGCTTTGTAGGAGAAAAGACCGGGGGTTCTGCTCTCGTAAAAACTACAGACTAGGAAACCCTATGAAGTCATTACTAGAATTGACTGGATGGCACACTAGTTTTTAAGAAATATTTATCCTTCCAGATCGACGACTGCCACCCAAGCAAGAATCAAAGAGAACTGGTGAATATTCCATCAAGTACAAGCACTCGGGCTTGGATTACTGCGGAGAAATGCATTAGGAAAAAAATTCAGTAGAAAACCCAGCTGTACTTTCCATGAATCAAATTATAAATCATGTGGCTTATAAATTGCATACTGTACCCTCATGTCCTAAAGTCAGGCCCTGATCACCCACTCTGGGCTTGTAAAGATGGGCCCACACCAGTTTTGCCATGACTCATTTGGAAGGTATCCAAGCGACTGAAAAGGAATCTCTTTGGAAAAAGTTGCTGTAGCAAAGTGGATTTTTCCCCCTTGTCCCTATTTCATCATGCATGACCTGCTAGAGAAAGCTTGACCAACTCCTGAAAGACTGCTGACACCCCTAGAAATGTCGAAGGGGGGGGGGTGTGTGCACGCACAGGGGTGGGGTGCTACCTGCTCAAGCTAGAGAGAAACGGTGGTATTGCATTGTTTCTGGTCTTTACACCCAGGCTTTGTTAGGACAAAGGGTAAAACGATTCAGCAAAGGTCTAGAACCCACTTTAAAAGGACTTTGTCTAAGAGGGAAGCCTAGAGAGGCATTTGGACACCAACTGGTGGCGTAAAAACACTAAAAGCAAAGGGTAAGTTGTAAGCAGTCAGCCAAAGGCATCTTCCGTTGTAACCTCCTCTGGGGTTGAGACTGCTAGCTCCTCAGCAGGTTAACAGGGCACCTGACTGGTCAAGTGTGGCTATCTGACAGCATTCTAGCCAAAGGGTTCCACGAAAAACCCTGATGCTCAGGCCTGGTTCACGTAAATCTCCCTCACGTGACTCCCCTTCTAACTTTGTGCCAAGAATACAGTGAGACCTTGATTTACTATCATATACTGAATGCATACTGAGAGCTGGGTTCTTTTTCAGACATTATCTTACTCCACAACCCACATGAAGTATGGATCAACCAAGCCAATCTAATCAGATCGCCTCTCCTGGGAATTAGAATCCCAGACAGGGACAATGGCGAACATTGGATGACTGTCTTCTTTGGAAGATGGGTTTGAATACTAAAGTCAGCAGAGCTACTCTCATTTTGCCAGAGGAATGGAAGGGGACTGGGGAGCAGTTCTCACACCCTCTATGATCAGCAAAGACCAGCAAACCTTCTGCAATCTAGTTTTGGGAGCAATGGACCCCAGAGCCTTCATTTGGTTGTCCATGTGGTCTCGCAGCAGTTCTCAACCTGTGGGTGGTGACCCCTTTGGGGGTCAAACAACCCTTTCACAGGGGTCGCTCGATTCACAACAGTAGCAAAATTACAGTTATGAAGTAGCAACGAAAATAATTGTATGGCTTTGGGGAGTCACCACAACATGAGGAACTATTAAAGGGTCACGGCATTAGGAAGGTTCAGAACCACTGTTATAATGCATCGCCATCAAACATGTGGGCATGCTTCCCAAGCTAGTGAACACATGCCTATAACTACAGTGAGCAGGAAATTATACGAGGCCACAGAATAAAGTCTCTCTAACACAGTAATGTCATGGTGTGGCAAACAATTCAAAACAGGGGGGAGTTGATAGCATTGATGATTGCATAGCCCCACCCAATGGGACTGAACAACAGAACTGTATGGGAAGGGAAGGGATATATTGGAATGAGTAAGCTATGTCAATAAAAATATTATCAAGGGCAATGAGTGTACAAAGGTGCTTTACACAAATGTATGGATTGTGATGAGTTGTATGAGCCCCTAATAAAATGATTATAAAAAATATAATTAAAAAAATCAAATCATCAACCATAAACTTATTAGAGTTGAACATCAAACTCAGATGAATCTTTAAGGTTGGTAAAAATTCACACTGTATTCTCCTGAGGGGTTAATCCAGGCTGTCTTCAGCTCTCCCACAAGCTGTTTACCTGTCATTGACATGGTAGTGGAAATGCTGGAGAAGCATCACTATAAGGTAACTTGGAAGGAATTTTTCATAGCAATCTGAAAAATATTAACCAACCAGTCGTTTGGTGTGGTTTTGTTCTTAGAGTTCCTAAGACTTTAAACTATAATAGAAAATGTTGCATTTTACCCTCAGAATACTGGCCCCAAAGAGATATTAGATCCTAATCCGTGGAACCTATGATTGTTTCCTTAATGGCACAAAGGATTACTACCAAAAAAAAAGATGGGATTTACAAGTATAACTAAATTTAGGATCTTGAGATGGTGGGAATGCTCTGGATTATCCAGGTAGCCTTTAATATGAGGGGGCTTCAAAAAGTTCATGGGAAAATATAATTAAAAGATAATCTTTTCCACAAACTCTGAAGCCTCCTTATGTCTTCATGAGGGAGGTGGAGGGGAATTTGACTGCAGAAGAGAAGGCGATGACGACGGCAGAAATCAGTGCTCCTCCGTGAAGATGATGGGAAGGACCACAAGCCAAGAACCTCCAGAATTCTAAGACAGTACATTTATGTTCTTTACGTCACTTGATGTGGTATTTTGGTTTAGCAGCCATGCATAAAAAAACCAAACCCACTGCTATCCAGTCAATTCTTTTTTAACAGCCATAGGAAACAAAGAACAGAAGGAGAAAAACTTTTTTTTTTCCAGTAACTTAACGGTGATTTTACATACAGTTGGTCTTAAATACTAGGAGCCCTGGTGGTACAGTGGTTCCATAGTCACACAGGGACAGTTCTACCCTGCCCTAGGGCTGCCGTAAGACAGAACTGACTTGATGGCAACAAGTTTGGTTTTGGGTCTTAAAACAGAGTCCATCTCTAACGAGCATTCCAGGTTAGAAATGTAGAAATGTCTTGTTTTTAACCTTATGCCATTGCTATCAAGTAAAGACAATCTCCCATATGTAGAAAGCATCGAAAATGTAGACCATTAAAATATTATAAGGAAAAGATAGGAAGCAGCCGCTTTATTTACCATTTATAGCAGATGATAAAAGATACAAAACAAGTAGTCATGACTTTAGGTTAAAACAAAGATAACTTTATAACCACACAGGTAAAAATACAAGGTGGAAGACAATAGCTCAGAAAAGCAGTTACATGGGCTGATCTACTTTTGCTTTATGCTATCTATAGCAGTCCAAAATTAAGAACGCAAATGAGACAAATAACACTTCTGACCTCACAGGAAATGATGTCCTGAACCTTGGGCAGGCAGTAAGTGGCCCACAGAGGCTGAGGAAGGTATTTAACACTAAAGTGACAGTGGACTGCAGGTGAAAACCAACTGACCAATTGCCAGACCCCCTGTGATGTTCCAGAGTTTTCAAGGCTTTGGAAGCATATCATCAGGCCTTCCTTACAGGGTGCTCTGATTGGATTTGAACTGCCAATCTTTTGGTTAGTAGTTGAGCATTTATCGTAACTCGCCACCCAGGGATGTCACCCTGCATGTTAAACACTTTTATTCTTATTCTGTGCACTAAGCTCAAACAATGGTTTAGGAAACCCTGCCACTAGAAAGGATCTGAATACTAGGAACAGGCATTTGTAGTCAACATCAGTAATTTACAGTTCCTACCCACTCTTTTACTGATGGCTCACAACTCTAGGAAGTAGACGTGTCTAGTATTGATTTCTGCAGCTGAAGAGGTTGAGGTGGTCAGGCTGGTAAGCAGCTCCTACTCAGGTTTCCTCCTATTAGATCATCTTAATCTGACGAGAGTAAACCTATGCATTTACTTCCGGGTGAACCCACCACCATCAATTCACTTCTCACTCACAGTGACCCTACAGCAGGAACCCACAGGGTTTCCCAGGCTGTTTCTTTACCGAAGTGGACTGTCACATCTTTCTCCCATGGAGGGGTTGGTGGGCTTGACCCGCCGACCTAAGCTGTCCAACTCTATCACGACAGTTCCTTCCAGGTATGCTGCATCAACTTTTAAAACTGCAATTCAGTCAACACGGGCGGAGCAGTATTTTTGGAGTAGAACCATCATTTAATTTTTTACATCCCGGGAAACCAAATGCCATACTCACTCAGGGTTGGCAGACACAAAGGGCAGCTAAGATAGGTCAAGGGTAAGTAACAATAAGTCTAAGTGTTCCAGGAGTAGTGGTTACTCGTTGGGCTGCTAATCGTAAAGTCAACAGTTAGAAACCACCAGCCACTCCGAGAAAGGCCGGGCTTTCTGCTCTCTTAAGGGTTGGTCCTGGGAACTCACAGGGGCAGTTCTGCCCTGTCCTAGAGGGCGGCTAAGTCGGCATCCACTCAAAGGCAGTGTTTTTCGCGTGAAAATGAGATCAGTCGTTCTTTCAGCTTTTAGAAGGGTGGATTGAGGTAATGAACGTGAGGTGCTTAGTATCCTGTTAAAGTGCTACACAATATGTCTTTTCCCCAGTGAATATGTGCTTCCTTGTCTCGAAAAACACCAAACCCACACGGTACCTACCGAAGCGGCAGGAGAGCGGGCGGCCCAGGAGAAAGCGTGCCTTGACAAGAGTTCAGGGTAAGGTGGCCGAGGAGCACTTAGTTTTCCGAGAATAACCCACAGGACAGCGGGGGGCCGGGTCACCCGCAGAAAGTGTGCCAGGAACGGAAGGAGCGGGTTTACTACCAGGCATCCGCTGCGTCCTGACCCCGCGGCGCTCGAAGCGCCCGCGCGTGGCCTGGCCCCTCCTCGCGGCACTTCCCCAGCAACCCTGGCGCTACAGGCTCAACGACGCCCAGGTCCCAAGACCTGTGATAATCTAGAGAAGCGCACCCAGGGGATCCCTTCCCGCCCCGCAGAGCGACAGGTACCTTAATTAAGAGCAAGTGCCACAACTGGCTCAAGAGACCGTGCTAGTGCAGCCGCAGCGACAAGTGAAGACCGGAACCCCGCCTTCTACCTCTCGGATTGGAGAACTACGCAAAGCGAAATGAAGTCGATTGGTTAGAAGCCGAGAGGCGAGCCAAACCCGAAGGGGCGGGGAAAGAGGCGGGGCGTAGAGGCGCGAAGGGGTGGTCTCTTTCTCTACTTTCTGATTGGATGAAAGTAGGATGTCTGCGCCTGCGTAGACTCAACTTCCGTTTAGCGCGCTACAAACTACGTAACGTGATCGGAAGTTTCTACTAGGGTCAATAAAGGGCAAAGGGCGAAGCCGTTTCCGCCTCTGCATGCACTGTACCTAGACTCTAAGGCAAGTGGGTTTCTTTCAAGTTGCACGCTAGAAGTTTCTACCGAGCCAAGTTCGGGTAGGAAAAAATGTTATGGTGAATAGGAGGCCTCTACTGAGTGTGAGAAATATTTAATAATTTGACTGAAACACACGTGCTCAGAAAGCCTGTGACGCCCTCTTTGAGGTGACTGATCCAGGCAGAAGTTGTTGCTGTGATGTGTCGCTACCTCAGCGAAGGGAACTCTGGGATTTGTAGTGTCAGACGCTGTATTTCTACAGCTTTAAAAAGGGTGGTTACTATTAAGTAGTTCATTATTGTTAGTAATAACACGCAGACTTTTGTTGAAATTTCCGGTTAGTTCCACTGAATTTCATACCCTCCCATTTATCAACGCGACGAAAGGCAACGGCACTTCGGAACACGAACTATTTCAAATATGTTTATTTATAAACAAATATTAATATTGCCAACATTTTACTACCGACAGGGAAAGTCAATACTAGAAATAACATCATTAATTTGTTAAAAATCCAGAATGTAACACTCACCTCCTTTCAGTAAAAATTCCTTTTAAGCTTAATCAGCAGGGATGTTCCAATATGGGAAGGAAGCTAACAATGTATGTAAGGTAAGTAGCCCTTTCTCCGAGGGCCGGTGAGATGTTAGGAGCTAATGGCCCTGGAAAAATATAGAGACAGATCATTTCAGAATGATCTTTGCAGAGCCTGCCTTCTTGGAGCATCAGTTCCATCTGGAGACATTGTAAAAATTTGCTAATCTCTTCCTTCAATCATTGTTTTAAAAAACCTGTTTTTTGTTTATTAACCTGTGAGGGTCAGGACTGAGCTCTGAAACAGCTAGGAGGAGAAACCTGCTTGTTTTCCAAATGCTAGCACTTGCAAGAATAAACTTGAAATTTCACAAAGCAACCTGGCCCCTGTTTTTGGTCTTGGACCCCTTGCAGTCTGACAACAGGACACTGGCATTCTGCTCTAAAAACTCAAACTCACTGCCATCCAGTCGATTCTGACTCAGCGACTTTATAGGTCAGGGTCAAACTGCCTGGGAGAGTGTGTGTGTGTGTGGGGGCGGTGGGGTTGTTTCCGAGATTGATGACTCTTGGTTGTTGTTGTTGATAAGGTGCCATCAGTTGGTTCCAACCCATAGCAACCTTATGCACAATGAAACAAAGCATTGTCAGGTTCTGCGCCATCCTCATAATTGGTCCTGTGCCTGAGCCCATTGTTGCAGCCACTGTGTCAATCCATCTCTTGAGGGCTTTCCTCTTTTTTGCTGTCCCTCTGCTTTACCAAATATGATGTCCTTCTCCAGGCACTGGTGACTGTTAATAACATGACCGAAGTATGTAAGATGACGTCTTGCCATCCTTGCCTCTCAGGAGCACTCTGACTGTACTTCTTCGAAGACAGATCAGTGCATCCTTTTAGCAGTCCACGGTGCTTTCAGTGTTCTTCAGTGGCACCACAGTTCAGATACATCAGTTCTTCTTCAGTCTTCCTTATGCCATGTCCAGTTTTCATATGCATAGGAGGCAATTGAAAATACCCTGGCTTCTTGTCTCTATAAAGAGTCAATCTTGGGCTGTGCTCTTGTACAGCACAGGCTCAACAGTGTGAAACCTCTCAATAAATTAATCAGAATTCTGATTTTTATTTTATATCTATAAATAAGAAATAAAATGGAGAATGAAAAAAGAAGAGTCATCTTTATAAAGCCTCATCTTTCCCTTGCTGAGAAGCTGCTGGCTTTCAATCTGCTGACCTTTCAGTTAGCAGCCCAACACATAATAATTATTGCCATGAGGTCTCCTGGATGTTCTGTTGGATGTTCCTAATTACTAAGTTGATAATAAAAATTTTAAGTTGATAAGATTTTTGTCATATAAAAATAGTCTTTGATTTCTATATTACAGTAAAGAATGTTTGAAAAGCAACTGCTGAAATAACTCATCCATAGCACAGCGGCAAAACTGACCAATCCCCATGTGAGAGTTCCAAAATTTACAATCACAATTAGCTTTTGTATTAGCTAGGTTGTCTAGTGAGCGTCATATATATATATATATATATATATAAAGAGCTTTATATCAAGAAGTAATTATATATCAAGAAGATATCCCAGCCCAGTCCAACTCAAGTCCATAAGTCCTTTTGGGGCAGTCACAATCTCCTGTCAACTTGAGTGAAAGGGGTGGAGTCTAGCCTGTCAATCAGGTCATATCCAATTATGCCTCTGTGTGGACATGGCCTTCTGAGGATTCTGGGAACTTCTGTCTTCCTCCCTGGAGGTAGGACACAAACTCTCTCTGGGAGATCTTCTGTGGACAAGCCATGTGGAGCCATGTTGATTGAGCCACTTCCCTGGAGCTGGAGGAGCTGTGTGGAGATCCCTGCCAGCACTGAGATGTTTCTACTGCCACTGGATCCACAAGACTTTCCACCCAC